GAAACATATTGTCATTAGTACTTACCAGAAATTATTTTTCTAATGTTTGGAGAAGAAATATCCGAAATAAACTTAAACAAATTTTAGATAAATATCTTGAATGCTTTTTGCAAACTATTTATTTGTATGCAGATATTTGCCGCCATTCTGCGCTACGATCCATTTAATACTGCATTGGGTAGAGGGCAGCACTATCCGCTTTTTTGAATATTTTCTTGCCCACAAATTAAATGGTTAAGTATTTAATTAATTTATTTTCGGTCAATATTGAGTACTTTATTACCAAAACGGTCAGTATATACATATAATACATATATTTTTTTTGTAACTATCCCTTTTTGTTTGCTATTGAATGTATAATCCAACGCCATTATGTATTGTTACCTATTTATTTACATAGGCAAATCAAAATAAAACCTTTGTGAAACTTTACCATGCATTATTTTTCAACTCAAAATTTTCAACCCTAAAGAATAGTTATTTTGAAAAATTCAACTGCTGGTTGCGCTAGTTTGTTTATTAAATAAATTTTGATTTAGAAGGCGTACAAATAAAGTTATTGTTTTGGTAATGTACATTTTTAAATTGTCAAGAAAATGAAATTACCGGGTTAGACGTGGGATTATATTTCGGAATTCATCCAAACTTTTCCAAAAGAAAAATGACCGTCTTAAAATTGTTTTTTTCACATTATATTCCACCGGCTAGATCAGTTAATATGGTAATTAAAGCTTTAAATTTACCCGTGACATTAATTGAAGTCGACATGTTTTCTTCCTCATACAAATCGCAGGACCTTTTAAAGGTAAAAATTGTAAATTAAGTAAATATACAATATTTACTTTTAATGTTATCTATCTATGCGAAAAAATTAACTTAATTAGATTTCAGTTGAATCCTCAACATACAATTCCGACTTTACAAGATGGAAATTTTGCGTTATGGGACAGTCATGCTATAGTATCGTACTTGGTTGATAAATATTCTCCAAATAGCCCGTTATATCCAAAAGATCTGAGAAAAAGGGCTACTATCAATCAAAGGTTATTTCTGGATGCAGAAAAATTGTTTCCGCGACTATGTTTGGCAATAGTACGTAATATATATTAAATAGGCCAAGCCTATAATGTAATGAATTCACTTTTTGTCTTGGTGACGGTGTATTTATATATTGATAGTTTTAGGCTTTTAGGTCTAAGTTTTAACCGCGATTTCACTCGTGGTGAAGTCCTAAATACGCGTCAAAGATCATTGACGCATATAAAACTAATTTTTCTATCCCTCGAGAACAGTATTTTTAATTTATACATCGAAGACACGATCAATGTCATTAAAGACAATACAATTGTAGGGATAGATATAGAAGTTCGAAAAAGATTGTTAAAGGTGTATGTTTGAAGCGCGGCGCTGTACGGGTGCGAAACATGGACGGTGGGCGCGGCGGAAAAGAAAAAGCGTTCGAAATGTGTTAAAGGTGAATGATGAGGATACCGTGGATAGAGAAAGTTAGAAATGAAGAAGTATTAGAAAGAACAGGAGAACAGAGGACTCTGTGGAAGTCAATAAAAAATAGGCGAGATAGGTTAGAAGGACACCTTCTCAGGCATGAAGGGCTACTCAGAGACATGTTAGAGACAGGAACATGAGTTAAGAGGAATAAATTAGATTACTATAAGAACAAAGGCTTTCACGGCCGGAATCCATAGTAGAATGAAGATTCGGGCTATAGAGCCGTGGTCTACGTGAACCATTCTGTCCAGACGTTTCGTCAGTTACTGCGACTGACATCCTCAGTGGTAGTGTTGCGACTGTCGAGACTTTGAGATATAATCTACGTTCACGTTGTCAACGCAGAATAGTTCACTTAGACCACGGCCCTATAGCTCGAATCTTCATTCTGCAATTAGATTACTGTTCGCAAATAGTTAAGGATGTGGGATGTTCTAGTTTTAAGAATTAATTGCGAAGATTAGCTCAGGATAGGAAAGAGTGGAGTTGCGTGTCCAACCAGTCTTAGGACTGACGACCTTAAGATGATAAAAAGGTACTTATGTCCTTTTATGTACCTCTGAAAATGTTTGGATGAAACTTCATGATAGGTTTTACTCGCTATTTAGCTCGCGTTGATGTCCTAGATACGGGTCAAGGATCATGGACGACCACATAAAACTAATTTTTCCATCTCTCGGGAACAGTTTTTTTTTCTGGTTAAACTCTTTTCTGTATCCTTTGTATCCTTGACAATGCGTGTATAAAACTTCATGATGATAGGTTGAGTAGTTAAAACTCACATTTGCATTTATAATATTAGTTTGGATAGCAGTCTGGTTATTTTACTAATCCATTGATAAATGTTAGTCTTTGATAAAACGAATTTAATACCATGATTGGATCGAAACTTTTAAAATTTTGTTATTTTCAGGTACCACTTTTGTTACGATTTAAAACCGTTATACCAAATGGTGTATGTAGCGAATTATATAAATCATATGATTTATTAAATGCGTTACTGAAACAAAACGAATGGCTCGCTGATAACGTAATGACTATTGCTGATTTGTGTTGCATAACAACTATCAGTACTGCGGATTATTTTGTTCCCATTTCGAAAAAAAGGCACCCTTTGTTATACGATTATGTGCAAAGGTTCAACGAATTGACTTATTATGAAGAGACAAACTTGTACGGGATGCATTTGCTAGGAGCTAAAGTCCAAGATGCTGTGACGTTATCAAGAAATGCGGAAGTCTGTTACAATTTTAATTAGAAAAAGTGAAACTGGTCAGAATTGTTGTATTATTCTTGGAAATTTGTTTATACAGTAGATACGATTTTATAATCATAATCCGTCAGATAAATTTTAAATTTTTACATTTTTAATGGTTATAGAACTCATCAGATTGTTAAGTGATTAAATTTAAACACTAATTGTGTAATTTTTTTTAATAGACACTTATTACTGTCAGTTACACCAAAAAGACCATTTAAATACATTTTCGTACTAGGTACTCAAAATTGAAGCAATTACCGTACCAAAATCTGCTTTTGTAATGTTTGGAAAAGAAATATTCGAAATAGAATCTTTTTAATAAATAATTTAGATACATTTGTTTAGTGAATAATGAAATTTATTTGAATGTAGGATATTTGCCGCCATCCTGTATTAATATCTATTTAGTATTCCACTTGCTAGATGACAGCACCAATCTGTCCTTTACTACGATCCATTTAATGTTCTGTTCGATAGATGTCAGCACCAATCGCTTTTTTTAATATTTTGCTGATGAAAAACTAATTATAAGGGATTATAAATGTACAGTTCCAAACGAAAATTTTGTATTCTTATAAGATTAAATTTAAAAACATATTTTACACTTATTTTTCTTTGATATATATTTAATTTATCAACTATTACGATACTTTTTACGGTACTTCTATAATTCGAAATCTTTCATAACTCGAATATTTCCATTGTTTATTATTAATTCCAAACTCTTTAACTCGAATATCTCTATCTCTCTTACTTGAATTTTTTTTTAACTCGAAATTAGAGTTAGATAAATGACCCTTNAACTATAAGACCTTCTTTAAATTCAATAGTAGATGCATCTTTTGAATTAGGCTTTATTGCTTCTTCTTTTGTTACATTAGTTAATTGATTACAATTTTTATTTTCTCTTTTATTAAAACGCTGTTTAGACAAATAGTTTTTTAGTTCCTTCATTTTCTTTCTCTGTAAATTTAAATAAATGCTTCTCATCTTTTTCCATTCCTTCCTAAAATAATTACACATTCAAAATATTTAAGAGACTAATGAAATCTATCTTTAAAAATTATAACTGCCAAAAATGTGAAAACCTATGGAATAGCTATTCTAAGGTTGAAAATAAGGACCATCAAATACAAATTTCTAGATGAATTAAATTGCTGAATCGGTATAATAGTACTTACTTTGTAAGGATTTGTAGACCAAGTTCTTCAATGTTATTCTTGTTTTTGCCTTTCTTTTTTTTCTTTTTAACAATTTCTTTTTCTGGAGTCGTATTATCTACAACTGATTGTACACTGCTCTCCAATTTTAATTTTTTATTTGATGTTATGTCATTATCGCTGTGGGCACGTTTTAGTGAAGTAGAATCCAGATCTGTGTTATTACCATCATTTTCAGTCTTATTAGTTACTTTTTCATCACCTTCATAGGTAATGATACTACACAAATTCTGCGGTTCCATATTTGATGGTATTTTGCAACCTATTTTCTCAAAAAAGTTTACAGTATTTTCAACCCCTTTAGGGTCTTCAAACTCAATAAATGCAAAACCCTTGACCATGCCATTGTTTTTATATTTCGGTATTGATACATAAGTTACTTTACCAAATTCAGAGAATAATGATGTTAACCATTCATGTGTAGCATCAGAATTTAGCCTTTCTACATATATGGTACATTCATCTACATTTTCCTTTGGTACAAAAGGAGTTTTCCTACATATTTTAGTTTTGTCTTCGGATAGTTCTAATATTTCCGATTTACTTACTGCTTTCTGAATATCCACTACATTTTCAGTTAATTTTCGAATCTTGTTAAACTTTAAGAATACTTGTAGGTCAACAACTAAAATTTATTTATTAGATTAAAGAAAAAATAGACTGTAGGGATATTTAATTAATATACTTACAGGCATCTTGCATTACCAATTCGGACAAAAACCGATCTTTTGATAAATTAGAATCACTAAAATAGAACTCCATTAATTGCAATATGTTTTTGTAAAGTTGCTTTTTACGATGGCGACTTTTTTTCGGCGGATTTTCCTCCTTTTGTTCCATTAGTAATAATTTAAGTGTTTATAAATCACAACTTATACCTTAAATACGAAATGCACTAAACATTAAAAACTATTGTTATTATGAAAAGCAATAAAAATACGATGAAAACATCTAAAATATGATCATAAATTCGAAAATATGAAAAGCTAGGTTAATGTCCATAAGTTAATGTCGTTAAATTATATAATCTATGGTTTGAGCAAACGATTAGTTGGTGTCAAACGAAACGACCAGCAACGGTTTTAAGATTTTTTGAATGGACTCAAATTAATGTAATTCTTTGTCTAGGAATAGATTATATTAATGTTTGTATCAATCAAATTTAATCAATAAACAGTAAATGCCAATAAGAAAAGAATACTCATTAATGTATTATCAAAGTACTGGTATTAGTTAGACACATCCTTTGTATAAACATATCATAGATGATATGCAATACATAGAATTTAACCACACTTTTTTTAGGCAGTATATGGTAAAAATTAAGTATTAATAGCCGGTAATATTATCCTTTCTTTGAAATTTAAAGTGAAAATACATTTTGTATGTTATCAAATTTAGTTACGAAAATTGCAGAAAAGGATTGCAGTTCTCCAAATATTAATTCAAATAGTGTACACTCTACACTATTGTCTTTTTTCAAATAAGTTTATAAAATGGAACAAGTGGAAATACCAGATCAAGAGCCATCTCAGGAAAAGCGTAAGCGAATGTCGTCTGCTTTAGAAATTGATTGCCCAGGCGATTTGAGAGAATGTCTTCGAAATGCTTCTAATGATGGTTATCATTTTATAATTATAAATGCTGTACATCCTAGATATTCTCGTGATTTGCTCTCCAAAAATGCTCCCCATGTTATTAGCAGAACTGATAGAATTTTAACTGGAACAGATTGGAATAGACTTATTGTAGGAAAATTAACCAGTATTAATGTTGATAGTGAAACAAATCATGTTAGAAATTACAGTAAAGCAATTTTGAATCAAGAGCTTGGTTTTGCTAGTCACTTGGGCTTACCAGCAGTTATAATAAGATTACATCAGAGAAATAATACAAATTTAGCTGGCATTTTAATGGAAAAATTGGCTGGTTCCAATGTCAATTTCCAGGTAAATGATATTTTGATTTTTGAAGTTAAACTAAAATATATATAAATAAAGATCCAGTAAAAGATTCACTTAATTTAAAGATTGATTGATAACCAATGATAAATGAAAATAAATGCAAATAGAATTCAAGAATTAATAGATGCATAATTATTTGTTGTACATTTAGGTGTGGATTCAGTTACCAATGATTCATCCTACTTGTTTTTCACCTATATGTTCAAAAAGTGAAGAAGAAGACGTATGGGAATGGTGGAATGATTTAAGAACTTTATGTCATTATGATAAACGTTTAGGTTTAATGTTGGAACTGCCTGATTCACAACATATTCCATCAGAATTGGAAATTAAACGTTGGATGGGAGAACCAGTTAAAGTTTTACAAATAAAAACTTCTTTATTTTTAACTAATCATTACAATCAACCAGTTTTATCAAGGAATCATCAGGAGATCATTAGTAAAATGTTGAATTTAGATGTACAGTATGTGATAAAGGGGCCCAAACTACATGGTAAAACGTACAAACCTTATTGTGCATATATAAATTACTTAGGAAAAAAACTTTTTAAAAACGATGCCGTCACAGAATTTGTACAGGGGTGAGTATAATTCATCCTTAAGTGGCCCTTACAAAAGGGTATTTGCTTTGTAATTTTCTTTATACAGTATTACAATTTAAAGAGTTTATGTATCCTTTTAAACACTAAAGTACTAAAAAGACTTCTTTTAGCTGTGAAGATTTTCTTCAAAATCCTCTTCAACCATTAACAGAAAATTTGGAAACATTGGTTTATGAAGTGTTTGAAAAAGATCAAGTAAAATATGTAGAGTATCAGAGGGCAATACAGAAAGCATTGGAAGATTTGCCTCTTTCAATTATCATTCCAGTAATTATGGTTGTGGGAGCAGGCAGAGGACCGCTTGTACAGGCTTGTTTAAATGCATCATATATACTTCAACGGAAGGTTAAAATTTATGCTGTTGAGAAAAATCCGTATGCAATAAATACTCTTGAAGATAGAGTACAAAATGAGTGGCATGGACAAGTTATTTTAGTGAAAGATGATATGAGGCGTTATAAACCGCCAGAAGAAGCTGATATTTTAGTTTCGGAACTTTTAGGTAAACTTTATGAGATTAGAAATTAGTATTTATGTGTGTAGTGTAACTATTTCCTTTTTTATCAAAGGGTCATTTGGAGACAACGAATTATCGCCAGAATGTTTGGATGGAGCTCAAAGATTTTTGAAAAAAACTGGAATATCGATTCCAGTTTCTTACACTTCTTATTTGGCGCCACTGCAAAGTTCTAAAATTTATAACGAAATTAAAAACAGTAAAACTGCTGATAAGACGACAGAATCTCTTTATGAAACACCTTACATAATACATTTAGTAAATTACTATCAAATTGCTGTTTCACAGGTATTTATTAGTGTATCTCTTTAAGAAAAGGGGTTGCATCCCTGTGACCAAACAAATGTAATTAATATCAAAATTGTAGCCCTTGTTCAAATTCGAACACCCCAATTGGAATGAAGTTATTGATAACGATCGTTATGGAAAATTGCGATTTCCTGTTTTGCAAAATTGTGTCTTGACTGGTTTTGCTGGGTATTTTGAAACTGTATTGTACAAAGACGTAATTCTTAGCATAAACCCTCAAACTTATTCAGTGGGAATGGTTAGTTGGTTTCCAATTGTATTTCCCCTACCTGTAAGTATTACTTTTTTTTGTTATAATAAAAAGATTTCATAACAATTTAATCGACTCTGTGTGGCGCTGTTATAGGAACCAGTTCAAGTATCAAAAGGTGAAACGATTGAAGTGGCCTTTTGGAGATCTCAGAATGAAGAAAAAGTTTGGTATCAATGGTGTTTGCTATCACCCCACAAGGGATCAATTATAAATCCAAATGGAAGATCTTACTTTATTAAAAAACATTAATAAATAATTCTTTATAACTTTTTTGAATAAACTTTTTTCTTTTATAGTTGTGTTATTTTCAGAACCTTAAATTCCATTATATTTTTAAAACATTATTATGCTTTTGACCTTTAGAAACATTACTTCATAAGCGTGTGTAGATGAATAATTAATTAATATTTGTAATTGTTTATTTTCTGAATATTTACAATTGACTAAATAATTCATTACAATATTTAAAAATTTTAATGTAAATGGTAATTTTTATTGATATTATTATCATGCTAAAGAAATCACGATATATAATATTAGTGTTTTCTTGTTTGTTTTCACTTTT